AATATTTAAAACTTAAGATTTTATAGATTTCTTAAAAATACATGATTTTTGATGAGAAGTGACTTGGAGCACCATAGGAAAACCAAGTGTTGTCAAATGAAAACCCGGAAATCTAAAAATAGATCACTTATAAATTCACAAGTGATCTATTTTTAGATTTCAGGGTTTTCATTTGGCGACACTCATACATAGGGTCTAGAAAAGGCCTAAATACTATATATATTATATATAGCATTCAGGCCTTTTCTACTGCAAAGACCCTACATTAGCTTAATAAAATATTGAGATTTTTTATTTAAAAAATCAATTCTTCGAAGATATAATGCTCTAAAAATAGAATAACAACCAATCGGAAGTTAATTTTGCGAATTGAATTCAAGTATGTGTCCTTGTTCGTACAAATCGAAATCTAGAAATTTTGTGTATCCCGATTTTCAATCGCAATTAACGGAAATTTTCCGTCTATTGAAAAATCGTCTTACATAGGCGGAAATCTCCAATATTTTACAATAGGCGTAGACGGAAATCTCCAATACTTTACAATAGGTTTTGTGCTCTGTTCCACACCCTTGCAAATGATAACGATAATTATTCGTAGAGTTTAAATTTTATTTATAACGTGATGTAATATACATATAACTTAAGGGTATGGAAATACCAAAAATGGGTGTGGAAATACCTATTCCCTTCTTTATTATTTTACTTTGTTCAGGTTGCGCGATAATTACAATATTAACCAATCATAAATTTTTTAAATCTTACATAATGTGTGTCTTATCCGACAAATCCCCGAATCAAAGTTACATAATAATGTGTTACTTCCCCACATAGAAATTAACTTTAGTAATAGATAGTGCCAAGTTTATAATTACATAATATGTGTCACGTTCTTATATGTAACCACCCTAGCGTTACCTCCGATCAAACCAAGGTGTTCAAGATATGTATACGTAACAAACATTTACTCAAGCCTAATTAACACTAATAGCGAAAATTTTGATTACCGTCACACTTTTCTTTCAATATCGGTTAATTTTTGATTTTATTGGAGCTAGTTCGGTGAAAACCACAAATCTGTACTATGTGAAAAAACCGATAACGATAAACTTACGTTAAAAAAAGGTACAATTTTAGTTACGAATGCCATATATGGAAAAACTTTCACCCTAAGCCAAAAAATGTTTAGCTACAAAGTATACAGTTTAAATTTGGTTTTGCAATTAACGAAGTTTGGAATTTAAGATTTCGTAAATTTTAAAGATCTAACGTAAAAACTCGCTGTATTTCACCTGGATGTTTTACATGTGGATATTTATAAAAGGAAATTTTTTTATCAGTGCGGTACGATAAATTTAAAGCATGTCCTTACTATCGAATAACGACAATTAGTAATGTAATTTGGATTGTCCGGTGTAATTAATTACACAATATATAGAATACTAGCTTTTTTTCAATATTGCACATTGATTTTTCTCACATTACTTTTTTTCGGTGCACCAGATTATCTTGTACTATCAACTAATAATATTAAATGTTCGATTTTACTATATATGCATTAGGATGAATTTGTTGAGCATACGGATTTCTTTGGATTTCCTGTTTTTGTTTTTGCAGGCATAATATTACTTCTTCTTCAGAAGAAGCAGAAATAGTCCAACAAAGAGTATTTATGGTGGTTTAGATTTGTCTGCTCATTTTATATCATTATTATTTCATTATTACCATTATTTGTATATTTAACGTAAATGTTAATGAGCCACAAACTGTTTTTATCCTATATCATTTAATATAAAATATTGCAACGATTTTATAAGCCAAAATGTCAACAAATTTCTCTTCTGACCCTAAATTTGAATCGCCTCGTGATGACCATGAACCACGTAATGAACATCCTCTTTATGAGGATGATTCGCCACCAAAAAAATGCAGTTGGGGCTTTATCGATCTTTCGTTTATATTCACCTGGAAATTCTACTGCAACTTCTATACATATTCTTAATAACTTAATTGAGAATACTACATGTAATCATAAAGATA